ACTGTCTTAGTGGAGCCCATTCTATAAGGAGAGATGCCTTGCTCAGACTAGACACAGAGGTATGGGGGATGGAGAGGTGCCTTGGTCCTGCCTCAATGAGATGATGGGACAGACTTAGTAGACTTCTTAGGGGAGGCTTTATCCTCTCCAAAGAGCAGATGGGAGTGGGGGATGGGGGAGTGGAGTGGGAGGAGAAGAGGGAGAGGGAAATGAGATTGGAATGTAAAAAATAAATTAATAACTCCCCAATAAATAAATAAACGAGAACTACTACTGGTATTGATCTCCTAAATAATTTAAATATTGCCTAAATTACTTTCTTCATGTTATTTCCTTTAAAATGATTTATTAAGACCAACTTCAGTTGTGCTATGCACAGCTTTCTATCATATTTTTCAGTTCACATGGTTTTATAAATATACTAAATAGAAAGTGAATCAATGTGAAATTGTGGAAAGAGTTATTAAGGGCTATTTCAAAAGATAAAAATAACTCTAAAGTCCTGCCCTCAGTAACATTTATATTATTATTTTTAGCATATCCCACAACTCATAACATACTAGTCTGCTGAACGTGTGCTACTGAGGGGCACTAGTTAAGATGACAGACATGTCCTTAACTCTTTTTTAAAATTTTATTTTATTTAATTAATTAACTTATTTATTTATTTAAATTAGAAACAATCTTGCTTCACATGTCAATCTCAGCTCCCTCTGCCTCCCCTCCTCCCCTGCCCCCATCAGCTCCCCCAGCCTCCCTCCACTCTCCAGGGAGGGTGAGGTCCTTCGTGGGGGATCTCCAAAGTCTGTCATATCATCCGGAGCAGGGCCAAGGCCCTCCCCTATGTGTCCAGGCTGAGAGAGCATCTCTCCACGTGGAATAGGCTCCCAAAGTCCATTTGGATGCCAGGGATAAATCCTGATCTAGTACCAGAGGTACCAAAGAATGCGGAGGCCTCCTCACTGACATCCATGTTCAGGGGGTCTGAATCAGTTCTATGCTGGCCTCTCAGCCATCAGTCTGGGGTCCATTATCTCCCTCTTATTCAGTGTGTCCTTAACTCTTAAGGAGTGATCTTACTCATCTTTGTACCATCAGTGTCTACAGTCTAGAAGGATAAATCAATAAATGTTTGTTGAACTGAAAAAAGAAAATAGGGCTGCATACATTTATTTCACTCTGCTCTTGACTATTGATGTGATGTAACTAGCTGCTCAGATTCCTACCTTGACTTCCCTCAATAATGGGCTGCAGCCTTGAATTTTAGCCAGGTAAATCCTTTCTCCCATAAACTGCATTTTGTCAAGGCATGTGATCACAGTAACAGAAATGAAACCAGAACTTATGATATTATATGTATATTATAACATGGCATATTATAATATCTGTGTAAGATGTAGAATCCACAAATGAAAGAATGCACAATTTATGTCTTTATGAGTCTGACTTATTTAGCTTACCATGATAATCTCCAATTGTGTTCATTTTCTGCAAATGGTTGACTAAAACTCCATTGTGTGCATGTGTGTCACATTTTCTATATTCCTTCATCTCTTAATGGACACAGGTTGATCCTGTAAATTGGCTGTTATGGATAGTGCTGCAATAGACGTGGATTCCCAAGTATGCTTGTGGTACTACCACTCTGGGATGTATATCTGAAGAATCCTAATCCAACACACCACGGGCTTCTCTTTCTAATAATAGTTGCTAGAAAATGAAATGGCTAAGGTGTTGTTGGTTTTTTTTTTTTCAGACTAATCTAATACCACCCCAGAATGATTTTGGATAAGGGATATCTAACCTGTAATAAGATATTTTTATTAAAAGTAAACATGAAAAAAGAAAGATTGGAAGGGAGGAGCAGGAGAAGGGAGAGAAGAGAAAAGGGAAAGAGGGAGGGAAGAAACCACATGAACAGAGACAGTGAAATGGAATTAGGTGATGTAGTGACCAAAAGTGTGCTAGGGCTCAGTTGTCCACAAAACAACTGCCCAGACACAGCTCTTCAATGTCCATGGAAGTGGCTTCCAGATTACTATGCATTTGACACACTAGGGAAATGTGAACATTTTTAGCACCCATGCTACATCTTTATTTGAATACCCTTGAATTTTAAGGGAGGGTCTCTAGGGCCTTTTAAATGATCCCTAGGTGATTGCAGTGTGAAGCAATGCTTGGGGACAGATGTGTCTCCCATGGGCTTGTTGAAGTTCACAACTTAAGGTGCAACAGACATCCATTCAACAAAAGCCCCTCAATGCTGGCAGGAACTGGTTCGGACAAGAGCACTACACTCGGATGGATTCCATCTTGGAATCCCATTGGTGGATTAGGGGTGGGCATCTGGACATGTGCAGCACTATAGGAAATTGGCTTGGTCCATGGATGGGATCCAAAGATCCTAGGGTGGTGGTTTTTGATCTATATTTTCAAAAAAACCTACAGACTTGGAAGAGAGAGTTGGAGCTGAGGAAGGTCTAGCTGTCAGGGTTGCCCCTATGCTACAGCTCCAAGCTTCTTTAGTATGAGAGCTTCATGTTTTGGGCTTCCAGGTAAAGAATTTTAGAAAAAAGACTGAGAGAGAGAGAGAGAGAGAGAGAGAGAGAGAGAGAGAGAGAGAGAGAGAGAGAGAGAGAGAGAGAGAGAGAGAGAGAGAGAGAGCGAGAGAGAGAGAGAGAATGAGTAAGTATCATTGACTCATTGATCTAGAGAGAACACATTGGACACTTACAGGACAGGAACTAAGAATAGATTTCCTTTTTTAAATGACTGGAAAAGAAATATGAAACATGAAAATGACACAAAATTTAAGTTCCAGGTTCCACAAATAGAAATGTATTGAATTGCAGTCACACTATTCATTTGTGGCTTGTCTGTGGCAGCTCTGCTGAGTCAAGTAGCTGGGCTGATATCTCCATGGCGAGACAGTCACTACATGACCCTCTCACAGGATATATTTGAAACTTCTAAAAGAAGAAATAGATGTCTCTGTTATTTTGGGGAGAGTTGATTTTGCAGTTTCTATTTCTATCATGAAGAAAATGTAGGAGAAAGCATGTATGCCTGTCATTTGCATATATATAATAAATATATATATACATATATATGTATTTAGTAATTGACTCATTGTAGACCTGCTCCCCCCCCCCACACTCTCTATCCTGACTTCTTGCTTTGGGAGACAAATGTACAGGTCTCTCTTCTTCTTTTCAAATGTCCTCTTCAAAGACTGTTTTTTAGGGTAATAGTAGTTCACATCAAAGCAAGCACATGAAACATAGAGACCTCTATCCTGACCTCACAAATGAATAGCCTCCTCTCCTCCCAAACTCTCTGAAAGCTCTTCATCTATGGGTGGGGCTCGTGTGCCACTCCCCACCCATGCTGGAATTTTGACTGTCCTGATTTGTGCAGGTAATCTTAGCCGCTATGAGTTGGTGAGTACGACAGCCACGTCCTGTCTGTAAGACGGTATTTCTCAATGCTCTTCCTCCTCCAGTGCTCGCATGCTTTCCACTCGCCTCTTCCGTATTACCTGAGCCTTGCTGTATGTGTGAGGAGGGGTTGATATAAATGCCTTATTCTTAGCATCTTAATCGTTCGTGAGTCTCTGCATTAACCATGGACCCCTGAGAAGAAGCTTTGGTTGACCAAGGTTGAGAGCAGCACTAATCTACAGGTATAGACATAAATACTTGGAAGGCAGTTTGACAATGTGGCCATTTAGCAACAAAAATAGCAAGTTCTTTCCAAGGGTCTATGAACTCCCCAGCAAGGCCATGGGCTTTGGCCAGGCATAAATTCTGTCCTATGGAGAAGGCCTGAAATCTGACTGTAAAGCCATTGGTTTCCTCCATAACAGTCATTTTACTCTTGGGCCAGTAGGCATATTTTGCCTAGAATTGGAATTATAGCATGAAGGGTGTAATGCTACAAAAGACCAATGACATCTTTTCTCCCCCCCACCTGTGTAGCAGTGTCCTGCACTAGCCAGCAGACAAGTTTCCTAGTCAGTTGGTTTCTCCATGTCCTGAAGTCAACATGTATGGTTTCTTACCAATTAGTTCTGGTAGGCAACCAAGAGAAGAGCAACGGCAGTAGCCTGTATTATTGTAGGTGCCTGTGGGGGCTCCTTGAACAAGAACACATGGAGAAGTACTAGGTCCCAAATTCTATGATGAAAATTGTCACTTCCAGAAATTGTCTTGGGAGAGTACTGTGAAAAATGTGGTGTGCCGACTTCCCAGGAATCCAAGGATGGAAGGGATCCATTGAACTTAATCACGTGGGAAGAGAGGGCAGCCACCTGTAGAATGGGAATTTTGCTGACCAGTGTTGTAAGCCTGGAACCAGAGTGCAATTTGTGTGAATTAAAATGCTAGAGCATGCATATAAAGTAGTCTTCTTTTCTGTTTTCCAAGACAGTTCTATGCTCTACTGTGTATATGGCACCTCAAGGAAATAAGGAATATTTGTTTAAAAAGGTACTAGCCTATTAGCCTGCCTGGGTGCCCACATGTCTTAGACACACCTAAGAGGGATACCTTCATTAGCACGATCCAGTAGAGGTACTACAGCTTTGGAAGACTGAATTCCCATTCCAGTCCTTATCTTGACAGTGGTCACAGGCTTCGACTATTGTCTGTTGTAACACAGCACATGAATTATCTGGTGGGGTCACTGAGCAACATCTGTGCATGTCTTTGAGTGTTTAAACTATTAGATCTACAAGAAGTGTGGTGGTGTCAAGTGATCATTTCATTCCCGAAGCCTTGTCATTGTCAAAAACTTGGTAAGTTCAAGAAGGAGAGTGAGTTGTTCAGAGTCAGTGTTGATCGTCTTAATCAGATTTAGGTCTCACTGCAGCTCAAATGGTTCGACTGAAAGTCTGCTGAGGTGTGGCATAGTAGAGGAGGGACAAGGCACACGGAGTTTCTGACAGTCAGGCAGTCAGTGGAAACCATGCTACATTGGTTCTTCCTTTCCTTGTCTCGTAGGTCCAACCGAAGCCAGGACTTGGTGTTAGAAACGGTGAGTGTTCCTTCCTGGGTGGCAGCTTGAGAGCTGACATGCATCTACAGGGCTCCAGGCTGAACTCTGTTTCCACGCAGAGAACCTTAGAGCCCCGGAGCCGGAGGAACAGGAGCCGGCGGTTCAAAGCACATTCCCTGGAGCTTCCGCAGCCCAGTGGAACATCAGAAAACTCGAGTGACCCTTTGTGGAGAAGCCCTGGCTGGTCCTCCCTGGCTGACGGCTCAGGCACAGGCATGCGGCAGTACCGCCTGTCTATCCCCATCGAACCTGAGATGAGGATGGATGTCCTTAAGGAAAACAGCTTCCAGAAGCTCGAGGCAGAGACAAACGTTGACACTGGCTTCACCATCATCAACTCTAAACCCAGGCGATCTTTTCTGAGCAGATTCTCCAGGGATTTTCAGAGCAGCCAGCCACCAAGCCGCTTATCAGGATTTTCCGTCGAGGTGACCGCTTCCCCAAGCCAAAGAGTCTTTCAGGATAGACTCCGTCCTCTGTCACTTCCGCGTCAAGGGGACTATGGTGTAAAGGAGAGAATCTCAAAATGTTCCCATCATCGTCCTGTCCAGGGCGAAGAGAAAGAAGGATTCTTTATATAGCTTAAAACAAATGTGTCTCTCTGAGATACCAAGATAGGATAGAATGGTCTAGAAATGAAGCATTGTATTAGTTGCCCTTCTCATTGAAGTATCTAACAAAAGCAACTTAAGGAAGTGTTTGTTTGGCTCACACTTTGGTGGGAAGGTCCATTCATGGCTGGGAAGTCATGGAAACAAGAGCGTGAGGCGGCTGATCCTGAACCTTTACAGTCACATGGCAGAGGGGCGGGGTGGGTAGGGGAAGCTGGGGCTCGGCTTGCCTTTTCTTTGTGCCATCTGGGACTCTGGCCCATGGGAAGGCTTCCCACTTTCAGGGTGGGTCTTCCTTCCTCAGGTAAATCTTTCTGGAAACACCCCGAGGTGCGTTTCCATGGGGACTCTAAATCCACTTAGGTTGAGGATCTACAAACACTGATCCCGGATCATCCAGTTTCCTGCTCGTCTGAGAGGGCCTCAGGCTCTCAATGCACAGATTCATTTGCTTTCACTTCCAGCCTTAGAAGTCCATGAGGAGTGGATAATTTGCTGGCTCTCCGGAAGAGAATACAGCCTGGCAGAGGAAGAAAGCCCAATGCCCCAACTTCTCAGTGGCACACTAACCCAGCTACGTTTGCTGGTTCAGCACCTATCAGAACACCGACATAGTATGCAAATATATTAGATGTGATATGCAGATCTGATTAGTGTGTGTAATACAGTTTTAATTTTTACTTGAGGTTGCTGAGAGCTTATCCCTCTAGGCAGTGTGAACTATTTATTCTTTAGTGCTTTTTAATTTTTATTTGACCTCCTTTGGTAAGTAGGCCCTGTTTACCACATACCCTCTTGTGGTTTTGCTTTTAAAGTTCTTTGCATCTGAAACGAGTAAAAATGCAAAGTGTTTTAAAAATTATAATCCCCCCAGTTTAATTAGTGAAAATACCAGAAGTCAGGAAGCTACATTAAAATGAATGCTAGACTTTGAGATATTCCCACACTTCTGTTTCTCATCTGTCTGTCCTATACTCCAAAGAGGGCAGCACTTCTTGTTAGGAAACCAAGGAAGCCACAGTATAATTAGAATATTCCAGATCTCCACTGATGGGGGCAGAGAGATTGTGCTGAGTGAGTCACCAGACTCAGTGAACTAGATATGTTTTGGGGGTTCCCAGGGCTTTCTGCAATTCATATTTATTCATTTTATATATGTTCACTCAATAAATATTTTTGCATGCCTTAACTATTTATGGATATGATACTTAGACATTTTTATGGTCATCAAACCCAAAAGATAGTAATGGTTTTGCAACTGTGATAATCTACTGAACCAACCCTTTGAAAAGGTGTTGAGGTTCAAACTTATTCCACACAATCCAGGTCCACATTTGCCATATAAAGATGCACTGTCTTAGTTACTTGTCTTTTTGCTTTGATAAAATACCACAACAAAAGCAAGTTAAGGGAGGGAGGGATTTCTTTGGCTGACAGTTCCAGGTTGCAGTCCATCATGATGGGATGCGCATGGTGCAGGGGTTTGAGGTCTCTGAACACATTGCATCTGCAGTCAGGAAGTAGAGTGATGGGCAGGGCTGTGTTTCTGTTTGCCAGTGCAGGGATTACCTACCCGTTTTTTTGGGCTGATTCCTCCCATCTCAGTTAACCTGGTCAATATAATCCCTCACAGGCAGTCAGGCCCAGAGGCATCATTCCTAGGCATTCTAACCCTATCATATTGACAATATTAACCATCCCATGAGCATTGGTAGTCTGCAAGTGGAGACTGTTAATATTAGGAATTTCAGTTTGCAGTCTTGAAATCATAGTCACAAGGGACACACATGTTCTCTGTTGCCCAAATACTGGAGTTTGGGGATTAGGTGTACACTCATGATTAAAAATAGATGGAGGCTGTTAGTGCCTATGCCGTTGGTTGTTCTGTCCAGGAAGTTGTCTCCTGTGCTGATGCGCTCAAGATTACCTCTCACTTTCTCTTATATCAGGTTCAGTGTATCTGGATTTATGTCGAGGTCTTTGATCCACTTGGAGTTGAGTTTTGTGCGGGGTGTTAGATATGGATCTGTTTGCAATCTCCTATATGCAGACATCCAGTTAGACCAGCACCATTTGTTGAAGATGCTTTCTTTTTTCCATTGTATAATTTTGGCTTTTTTGTTGAAAATCAGATGTTCATAGGTGTGTGGATTTATGTATGGGTCTTTGATTTCATTTCATTAATCCACCTATCTGTTTTTATGCCAGTACCCTGCAGTTTTATTACTATACCTCTGTAGTAGAGTTTGAAATCAGGGATGGTGATACCTCTGGAAGTTCTTTTGTTGTACACAATTGCTTTAACTATCCTGGTGTTTTTGCTTTTCCATATGAAGTTGAGTACTGTTCTTTCAAGGTCTGTGAAGAATTGTGTTGGGATTTTAATGGGGATTGCATTGCATCTGTAGATTGCTTTTGGTAAATTGGTCATTTTTTTCTGTGTAAATCCTACCAATCCATGGAACATGGGAGATCGTTTCATCTTCTGATATCTTCAATTTCTTTCTTCAAAGACTTGAACTTCTTGTCATGCAGGTCTGAAACTGGAGGTTTCTCTCCTGCCTGACAGTTCCCAAATAACCATTCTGAGGCAATATTAATTATAAATGTTCGGCTGATGGCTCAGGCTCTTACATTTAAATTAATCCATTTTCTATTAATCTAAGTATTGCCATGTTGTTCCTTGGGCAGCTGGATGGCCTCTCTCAGACTCCACCCTTCTTCACTTGTATTTCTGTTTGGATTTCCCACCTGGCTCTATCCTCTACCTTGCCACAGGCCAAAGCAGTTTTATTTATCAACCAATGAGAACAACACATATTCATAGCATACAGACGGACATCCCACACCACAGGTCTTTCACTTGCTTGGTTAAATTTACACCAAGAAAGGACTGTAGGAGCCAGAGTGGTCAAGGACACCACACACACACACACACACAAAACCTCTCAGAATCAGCTAACTTTGGCTCACAGGAGCTCACAGAGACTGAACCAACAAGCATGGGACTGACCTAGGCACTCTGCATATATGCTACAATTGTGTAGCTTAGTCCTATTGTGGGAATCCTAACAATGGGCATAGAGGCTGTCTCTTACTCTTTTACAGGCTTTTGGGACCCTACTCCTCATACTGGATCACCTTGTCCAGCATTAATACATGGGGAGTTTAGTCTTACTGCAACTTGATATGCCATGTTTTATTGATACTCACAGGAGACCTGCCCTTTCCTAAACAGAAAGAGAGGAGGAGTAGATTAGGGGTGGGAACAGAAGTGGTGGGCGTGGGGAGGACCTGGGAGGAGAGGAGAGAGGGGAAAGTGTGGGATGATAGATATATAAATAAAAAGTTTATTAAAACATGGAAACTGGAGAGATGTCTCAAGAGAGCTTGCTGCTCTTACAGAAGGCACATGTTTGGTCCTCAGAACCCACATTGGGCAGCTTTACAGCTCCCTGTAATTCTGGCTCCATAGGATCTAATTGCCTCTTCTAGTCTTCACCAGAACATACATGCATATGGTATACATTCATACAGACATACATACGCATAAAATAAAAATACATATTTTAAAAAGTATTTGATTCTGTGACCATAATTCTCTTGGATAGGTGCAATATGAGAATATACATGTTTATTTAACTGCAGCCTTTTCTTTTCATTTCTTCTCCCTCATTCCCTCTCTCCCTCTCTTCCTTCCTTCTTCCCTCCCTCCTTCCTTCCTTTCTTCCTTGGATAGAACCCAGGGCCTTAAGGATGCTTATGAGGCAAGTGATCTTCTAGGTGGTACACTCCCAGCCCCCAGCAAGATCTGTCAAGACCTGGAACACTTACACCCAACTGGAGAGAAAGCCTAGCTGAGGCCCAGAAAGGTCTTGTGGAAATGCGTGCAGTCTAGTCTGGGTCTGTGAGCTCTGCTGAGAACACCAAGGAAAGTAAGGAGAATTGCAGATGGATAATGACGGGAATTCTGAATTGATTTTTTTCTGTCCATTAAACATCAAAATAGTCTCATTGTATTTCCTCCCTACCTCACAGATTAAACTTTGATCTTAGAGAATAGTGTGAGGGACTTAATGTTGATATGACTTTCTATAACAAAGCCTTTTTCAAAAACCTAATTTCAGTTGAACAATTGAGTTGCCTATGAAAGCACAGCAGGGAGAAGTTTTAAATTTTCCTTCTACCTTTTGACGTTATCATGATTTCTTTAACATAAAATACAGGTGAGGATATGAGTCTGTGGAAATAATAAAGAATATTGAGATGTTCAAATATGCACCTTACAAAATTGGCTTATAAAATAATGTACTCTTAAAATGTCACCCACTCTCTCCTATTCAGTGTAAGAATCCAATTTACATTATGGGATGGAAATGTCAGTGGAGCGGGTTGAGATTTAAAACTCTCTTTATATGTGACCTTAAACACGGTGGCTCTCCGATCCTCTGGTGACTTACCTACTGTAACAGAGCTTGTTAGAAAGAACCCTGGTAATATATATGAAAATATCTGATGTTATTAAGTGCTGTAAATGCAGAAGAGTTTTTATTATTGTATTATATTTTATAGTTTGCTATATATTATAATATAAATGGAATTGGTCCTTCAGGCCTACAGTTTAGAAAATGTTATGAGACAAAAGTTATTTTATGAGACAAGTTTCAGTAAAATCAATGAGATCGTAAAAATAAAAATTACAAATTTACATGACTATTTTTTCAAACTATCTATGCTACTTGTTTTACCTAACAGGAAGATGATGTATAGTAAATAACAAAATACATCATAAAGTTTGATAGATTATATCCAACAGAATAAGTTATGGTCTGAGGGTGATGGCGTTTGCCTATAGTCGGAGTACTTTGGAAGGGAAACAGAGCCAAGGCTCACATCGAGTTTTCTGTTGATTAGAAACTTCATTTCCTTGTCACGGACCATCTTTACACGTTTGAGAAACAACTCAGGGCTGTCTGCCTTTCTGGAACCTTCCCCTTCTCTCCTTTCTGTTCTTTCTTCTCTTCAGCCATTACTCTTTCTTTCCTTCTACTTATTCCCCTCCTTTCCTTCCCTCTCCTTCTTCTTCTGGGTTAATTTAATACAATGTTTTCTTATTTCCCACTTATTTGATTTTAAGGATCCACAGTGGTGGGAGGTTGGGGGAGATGGGGGTTTGTCTTATTGTGTAGTTCAGGTTGACCACAAACACAGTGGAGAAAGAGACAGAACTATCTGGCGTTTCTTCTTTAAGGCCACTAGTTGAAACATCAGGGTCCCTTCCCAAGACCTAGTAACCTCCAAAGACTTTTCCAGATTCCATCACACTGAAACTCATCCAAGGGTGTTGTTAGAATCTCTGTGTGAATTGAACCTAACATCCTCATATGTCATGGTATTCCCCCTCTACCCCCTTCCTCTCTCCCTTCCCTTCTTCCTTCTCTGCTACAGTGACCCTTTGGAATTTTATCTTGCTTTACACAATAATCCAATAAATCAATTAATCAAATTAAACATGACTGAATTTCAGCAGGATTTTTTTTATTTTTTTACATTTAAAAGAAACTTTAATTTTGACTGTGGGAGAAAAGTTTTCCAAAGAGAATAGCAAAATCCTTCGATGAGCATCAACATTATTTACATTTTTATTTTTTATTATTAATTTTTTTATTTTTAAGTTTAAATTTAGATTAGAAACATGGTTGGTTCACAAGTCAGTTCCAGGTCCCTCTCCCTTTCCATCCCCTCCTCCCGTGCCCTCCCCCCAACTTCCCCATTATCCCCTCATTTCCCCAGGGAGGGTGAGGCCCTCCATGGGGGTGTCCATAGTCTGTCATTTCATCCAGGGCAGGTCCTAGACCCTCCCCCCAAGAGTTCAGGGTGAGAGCTCATCTCACATTGTTGGATGGGAGTCCAAAGTCCGTGTGTATACTCGGGATGAATACTGATCTACTGCCCAAGGCTCAATAGATTACCTAGGCCTTCAAAATGACACCTCCATTCAGGGGGTCTTGATCAGTCCCATGTTGGATTCCCAGGCTGATGCCTGGGATTCAAGAGTTGACCTTTGTCAGGTCAGCTGTTTCTGGGGGTTAAACCAGCCCAGTCTTAATCCCTTTGGTCATCAGTCCTCCCTCTCTGTTACTGGCTTTCTTGAGTTCAGCTCAGTACTTAACCGAGGGAGTCTGCCTT